TCAAAATATCGGCCGACGACTTGTAAAAATGTAGAAGACCAATGATGTTTATGAACCTTTATTTCTGAAAGCATGTCAGGGGGCAGGTGAAGAGGGGTAGAGCATGCACTTTTCAGTAGATAAAGGTAGCCCTACACATCATGAGGATGGTAAAGATCCTACCTGGTTGCTTGTCCCATCCTTCTAATTCTCCCAATCACCCACAACATCTGAGTGGCTATATAATACCGCGTTGTTGAGTCCCTACAATCGTTCTTGTTTTGATCAAGTTGGACAAGACGTATTGATATATTATAAGTTGTCTGCTTGTCTCCAAGTGTCACTTAGGGCTCCAAAGACTTGTCTTCACCGTACTCTGTTCCCTGTTGTCTTTTTTGGCTTCCCCCACCACTGCCTGCATGGTCTATGACATGTCGCCACTTAGCACCCGACGTGTTGTTCCTGACTAAGATTCCACTTGAAGTCCTTACAAGCGGGTAATATCACTCAACGGTCTGCCAAATATGTGCCTAGTCGACCTCCATTTCTCCCTGCTTATTTGTTGGCTGATTTTCTGCTTGTCAGGGTTACTTGTCGCTCACCTCTTCTGGCCGACCATCTAATCTTTAGTTTCAAGCAAGGTTGGTCGATGATGGAAGTACCCGAAGGGCTGTTGGAACTAATTTTGGTGAGGCTCAAAGCCTCTGGTTCGATATCAGTGTCATGCTATATCCTGTCTTTTTTGTCCCTCCCACTAACAAGTTGGTTTATACTTCTAAACCTTCGATGTTGTCGTGTCATCTCGATGGCAGTAGCTCCACGGGGCTTGGAGTTGATACTGTTGATAGGGGACCAACTGAAACAACTCATAATGTCATGAACTGAGGCCAATTCGAAATTATTAGAGGGCATATTACCAATTCCAAAACTCTATTGTTCCAGTGACAGTAAACTAGCTGGACAATACAATTACAGCACCAAAAGTTATATCCTTGAATGTTCACACAGTTACAGGTTCAAGTGTTGTGGCTTCAAAGTCTATTTGTAAACATCAGTATAATGGACAATAATACTTCTGATCGTATTGCTCCAGTTTTAAGCCGAAAAGCAGGCAACTAGACCACAGTGGAGGGTTATGATTTCCAGTGGATACGAAATCAGTTTAAAAATGCCAGGTCTACGGAGATTCGTTCAACAACAACATTGACATCAGCTCTACGGAGGACTAGACAACAAGTCTGCAGGTTTTAAAGAATACAAAAATAAAAGTCAAAATTCGTAAACATACTTAGACAGTATATTGCAGTTGCTAAGTGAAATGAATTATGAAAGAGTACGGACGCAAACAGGGTTAAGTTTACCCCCGAAAATTTCAACAATATGATCCAGAGACAGGGTTAGCGAGGTGGGCTTCGGTTGTGTTTCCCATCCCGTGGTCGCTGCTAGTGGAATGTTGAATGCTCCGAGGACGAAGATGAAAGATTCCTTAAAATTCGAAAGAATGAGACCAGAGAATTAATACGTCAAACAAACAGTTGTGGCGAGTTAGAAGAACAAACATGAACAAAGATGTTTGCAATTTTCGGTCCAGGGAAAAATTATTATTGAAACAAAATTTTGATTGAAACGTAACATACACACGTGTACTGTGTTCACATTTAACAGCAAGTGTACAAAATCATCATTCTGGATTCTATAGCCACGTCCCTAGCGTGCTTGCGGTTCATGCCTGGGTGACGAGAGTAGATCAATGATTCTCCGGTTTACAGTTTGGAAAGATCACTTTCATTCAGTCCATTATCAATCGTTTGCATATCAGCAGCTTTGCCAGCTCCAAATGCGTACCAACTTTCCATGTCCACATATTTATTTTTGCTTTTATTCAAAGAGTTCACACAGGTTGGCTGACTTCCTAAAACCTTTCGCAAGCCGGCCGCATTCATCTCCCCCATTCCAGCCGGTAATGGGTTTGGTTTTCATGGCTGGGATTATTTGGTACGCCAGTTGAAATTTCACTCGGTAAATTTTTCTGTGAATAATTTTTAATAAAACTGTCATGTTTTCTGGGTTGATGAGAGCTTTCCCTTTCTGACACGTCATGGGGTTAATAGCTGCTAGAAAATTATCAATCTAAACAGAATCAGATATATCTTGCAAAGATTAGTCTAGTTGAGGCTTATACTATCAAAAGTGAGTGCAATCTTTCAAAATTGTTTTCATTAGTTTATGGACCGAGTGTCCGAGTAAATCTGCAGTCATTTCACACTAAATCAAGTTATCATCTTCCGGAAATTAAAATTGCTTGAGCTGGAGACAGTAGCTATTTGCAGTAAATGTGTGCTTTGACTCTACATTATGTCTTATTCTCAGCCAGGGATTCAGAGTTCATAGTCTTCTATTGCATCATACCCCCATGTGTTCTAGACATTCCATCAGCGACGTAATTCTTTGTACCCTTCACTTGTCTTAAACTACTGGTAAACCTTGATACGAAATCATGGTGAAAAATCTTAGGTACCAAGCGTGTCTGCAGGAAGAGTGTAATCTGTGTAGATCGTGAATGATTTCCTTCTAGAATGTGAGAACGGTTCAGTGACTAGGCGGAATTCTTGTAGTTCTTTGCAACACGCAATATCCATTCTTTAAGCGGGAATAAGACATCTAGAGGAAACGTATCTGGTTTCCAGCAGTTGGCAATTGGCTGGTTTTAGGATTCGATACATCTACTATTGGTGCGAAAAGTTTGGCTCTATCATGATATTTTAAGGTGGTGTCATTAGACAGCGCATTCTTCAATAGTGCAGTAGCGTCGGCCAGCTCTTCTGAAAACTGAAGGTCTTTTGACTTATCCTTGGGTCATTGCTGATTTCCTTCGCACAGGTCCTGGCAAATATCAATGTACACAACATTTGATATCTAGTTCCTTTAAAAATTTTTTCGGCGCCAGCACGAGCTCATGCAGTCCGAATGGAGTGGTTGTGGCTGTTTTATGTGTCATCCTTGGCATTCAGAATGCTGTGGAAAGGGCGAAATACGCCTTCTTTAGGAAGTATTTTGGCATCTCTCAGACTGATAATGGACCCATGAATGCGATTCACTGTGAACAAAACAATTATTATCGGTAAAGCCCAACGACTATATGAAGGTTGGGTAATCAACAGCTGACGCATTTTTTCGAATTCATCCCTCGCTAGTTTGGCCTCCCCTCGAGCGACCTTTCTAGGTTTTGTGAAAGTTGGAGTGACCAGCCAGTATGACACTGAGTACAGCTGCAGTACCAACTAAGAAGTCTGTATCCGAGATTGTGTCACCGACGTAGAATGGGTGATAGTCCGGACCCCTGATCACAGTAGTCGCTACTTGAAAAGAGGTGACCTTTGCCCGCTTACTTTCCGGGAAGTTTAGGCAAGACTCATGGTTCCGTTCAATTCTTTAATTTTCCGCTAGAAAACAGTTATGCCAGCAGAATTATTCTCATTATTTGGTTTGTTTGTGACTACTTGCTGATCTGGAAATATGTCTGCTAGACAATCTGCCTCGATTGCCTTGTGAGTTAGCTACCTCTGTATCACTTTTACCGTTGTTGAATTAATTTCTGCCTTTAGTTTTGATATTGCTGTGTCGTTACCAGTACTTTTATGACTCAGATGTTGTTAATACAGTTATCAGGAATACAATTTTATGAATGTAATAACCAACTCTATTTCAACGCAAGCGGTATTGAAAGACGACTGTAAGTCGAAGATATATTGATCAACTAATTATAAGCCAACATGGCAAGTTAACAACATAGCAGCTTGACCATATAATGCACAGTTGGTTACTATCAGTACACCTAAGAAGTCTACAAATAACGTCAGTGTAATATACATTAATGCTTCTTGTATTGATTCGGTCTTCCGTCACCAAGCAAACGTCTAGGCCACGAGTGGGGCTGTTGCCTCCAACGAACAGGAAACTTGTTTGGATACACAAGTTCATTGAACGTCCACTCAGTTTTCACCGTCACTGACAGATGGCCTATTGTGGAGCGTCCACTCCCTGCATCTTACACGTGCTGCGTGCACTCTGTTGTGGCTTGCTTCTCTTACCAAAGAAATATGGAAAGTGGGAAGACATGCCCATCTTCCTGGCGTCGCCATACTAATGTGTGTAGGATATAAAATCTATTCATATTCAAGGATGCTTTCAGATAGAAGTGAGTACTGAGAGACTGTAAGAACATACCATCCGAAGGCTACGTAGTTGTTCCCAGGACACCCATTTAACCTTGACACAGTATGCTCGGCGCTACTAACAGCATGCATGTGCTTCTTGTCGACACTAAAATGGGTGTAGAATTTCTGACATAGTAGACAAGACTCACTCAAAGTCGGATTCTGCCAAGGTCGTTAATTATTTGTCCCTTTTGTGGATAACTCATGACTTTCTCTCGTCTCAGAACCATCTCAGTGCCAGCAATATAAGAAGGAAGACTGACTTTTGGTTGCGTCCTATAAGGAGATCTGAATAATGTCCACAAACGGGTGTTTGAAATTGAGGACCCCTAAACAGGTGATGTTAGATAATAATGCATACACATAAATTCGCAATTTCTCACTGATTGGTTCAACTGGGGTGGCTGGCAAACCTTGTCCAAAAAATAGAAGATCTGGAGTTTCTTAAAAATGCTTCCTGGCAACCAGCAAAGGGTGAGGTGTCCTACATGTCCTTACTAGAACACTAATCAGTTTGGTTCTAGAATTTTCCAAAGTTCTTCACATGTCACATTAAACGCATTTAGAAACAGTTCATCTAATTCGCTGCTTTAGTTGTTGGGAAAAATGACGATTCTTTGGGTTAGGTCTTATATTAGGGTCGAGAGTTCTGGTTAAGGGTTAGATTATTGTTAGAAGTCAGGGTTATGACTTTGACTGCGGTTAAGAGTTAGCTTTAAAATTATGGTAAGAATCAGCTGTCATGATAGCGCGGAATCGTCTGAACATTTAAATTTACCACATACAAACTCAGGTGATTTTTGAACCAAGGTCAGCCGGTATCCGTCCTACTTTATCTTTACTGCAAAATATTTAAACAAAAAACACTCTCGAGTTTTTAATGACACCACAAGAACAGTTTATGTAGTGATTATGTTCACGTCAGCTATGTGATGTTTTCTTACACCACAGACATGATTTTCTGTACTGATGACCTTGGGACTCGATAATGGTTTGAGTCTATCGCGTCATCAGTTTACAACATGTGTTCATATAGCTCTTGATGCATTAACAGCTATGAAATAGCTTCACTATGGATATTAAAATTTCGAGGAAAATCCATGATAATGAATCATATATGGTATTGTGAATACTGTTCCCCATCGAGTTCGCATGATGCCAAATATCGTTTTGCCACACAGAGAGAATTTGTTAGCCACATACAAGAATGCCATTTGGTCCATAAAACTGAAAACAATGTAGAGGCCTTCATTTGTCGGTAAGTATGGCAAATATACGTTAAATTTTTTGTGAATAAATTAATTGCCTGGTACGCCTTAGAAGGTGTAGTCTAGACTAACACAGGTGTTTTAGTTTTCTGAAAGAAGCTTCTATTCAGAGCTTAACTTTGAAACCTAACAGCTCCCTGACACTATAATATCGACATCCAAAAGGGTAACGTTTGTCTGAATAGTATACTATTCAGACAAACGTCTCTAGCTAGAGACACCTAGGTGTGCCGTGAAACTCCGAGCACGTTTGCAATAGGCTTTGAACTTGTTTCTATGATAACTGGGACCATATCTGAGTTTTATTCTATGAGGAAAAGAACAATTATCTGACGACTATAAAGAAACAATGCCAGTTAACGTAGCCACTAGTCGTCTTACAGTGGCTCTAGAAAGGATCTTACTTAGCAGCATTTATAAAGCTTACTCAGATTATAAGTGTAAGGTATATCGGTGCTTAAAACTGTCATATGGTTGCTTGAAAAGTGGTTTGAGATGCTTTAGTTGAGTTAGAATATGTAGATGACAAGGAAGCCGACAGCATATAGCAATACACTCATATTTGAAGCGTGTTACATATGTTGCGGTGATAAGTTACTATAAGACTGACGTACATTGATGCTCCGTATAATTATAGGCTGCAGAGTAATTCGGTGCATGAGCCACTTCCTTTACATTTTTGCATTGGTGGGTGAATTTCGGCAGTTAAATTGTACCTATTCTGGGAGAGATTTCCTGTCGCATACTAAGGCTCGATTACCCCGTATTGCAGTGTGTCGTCCTGCTGTGATTGCAAAAGTAAAGGACCGGCAGGAACTTCGTGCATCTGACTGTTGTTACTATTATAAGTCTGCTGCTGACTTATCAGATCATTATAAGAGCAATGTAAGAGCCGAAGTGAGAGTCCTGCGTAAGATGTGTAAGTCATTCCAGGGTGTTGCCAGTTCTTTACTGCATGGGATGGCTAAGACGTGTGTTATCCATGCTCAATAACCGCTTTCTTCATCGGGATGTCGCCAATTTCCCTGATTGTGGCAGATATATTCATGGATAGGTGGGAAAACATAACGATTGAAACGTTCACCCCCACCCCAAAAGTATGGTGGAGGTATATAGATGACACATTCACTGTACTCAGAACACAGGATGTAGATAGATTTTTTGAATACATCAACTCAAAGGTGGAGGCAACTCATTTCACTTATGAATTGGAAAGTCGAGCTACCAATGTTAGACTGTAGCGTAAAATGGAAAAAAGATGGGAAGTTAAACACTAATGTTTACGGAAAACCCACACATTCAAACAGATATTTAGATTTCCGATCATCCCATTCCATCTCAGTGAAATGTTTAAGTAATAGAGCACAAAACTAAGTAGTACCACGCGAAATCTAAGACAGGAAGTGAGGCATATAAGAGAAACTTTGAAACTTAGTGATTACCCTGATAAATTAATCGGAAAGTATGTAGGGAAATGTGAAAATAAAATTAATAATGATGGTGGTGATAGTGATAGTAATAGTAATTTAAAACAATCAGTGCCCTTCATGAATTTAGACAAAGCAGTAAGAGCAGGTGACCTAGCTCCTCTATTGCCAAACATATTATAGAGAAAGGACGTAAAATTGATGTTTACACGTCTTTTAAACCTATCTATAAAATGTGCTTGGGGCGTATCCTGAAGTTTGTGGAAGTCCCAGCAATTAGAAAGTTTAAACCACCTTTATGCGTTCAAAAACAATTCCTCATCACACTTAATGTCCCTTGGTAAAGTTTGTTTTGATACATATCGGGGTAGATGTACCATAACCCCTGTTATTTGGTTTAGTGATCTTCATTGTTATTTTGGACTTCAATATGTCCTTTTAACTTGATCTAAATTTATTTTCTCATCTCTTAACTCTTTATTAATTTCATATATATTCCTATAACAAGTTAGTGTGTGATCAGATTGTTCGAAATGTGTTTTGCGCAAATACATTACATGATTCAGAAAAATTACGTCTTCTTATTGATTTATCTAACTAATAATAGTGATTTGCATGTTAAACATGCACAGGATAATGACAACGCCAACAAACGGAGATATAAATCATCAGTAGTACTTCCATACGAAGAAGGAACCTCAGAAACCTTACGGAGAATTCTTAACAAGGCAGGAATAAAAGCGGCTGGCATTCAAACCATTTATAAAAGGGCAGTCACGTGTAGTTTCCCTGGAAAATAATGTAGTTTTTTTTCCGAAGCCATTGGTATATCTGCAACAGTTTTCTATAACAGCTTATTAATATATTTTTTTAGAAGAATACTTGTACATTTTCTCATTACTCCTCTACCTCTGAGGGTATACGTTCTCGTATTTTACGACATTAATATACTAAACTGTCTGCTCTGTAAGACCTTAATGTTTTACCTTGACATTTTTTTATCACTAGCCTACAGGATGTTGTAATGTTATGTGAAAGTGATTCCTTAAAAATATAATACCATTCAAAGAATCTAGATTCTGACAGAAATGTTGTTTTCAACGTAGCCACTAAGAATTGTCTCCGCTTCATAGAGCTCCCATCAAAATGATTACTGACTGCTAATTGGCTGACTGACTGGTTTCAACACACAACTTTGCACAGAAGTGCACCACTTCAATTTGCCACTCTCTATGTACCACAAATAGGAAGACAAGTAGACATGGGAGGGAGGAGAAATAGTAACAGAAAAACAATGGGGGTTTTTGGATATGGAAGACCATAGAGAGTGAATGCATCTGTGCCATTGAAAACCATTTCGAGCCATATCACAAATAGTCTCCAGTCACTGGTTCTTAGAATCCCGAGGACCCCAACCAAACAATGTACAACTTCTTACGTGGTTGGCTCAAACCAACTACAAAAATTCCACGAAATAATGCGAAGTTTTGATTTGATTGCTAATCAAGCTTTGTGTTATTTTTAGTCTCATGTCTACATGCCTTCTGTAGGACTGTGCTTTGTATGTGAATTTGTTGTTGAGTGGTGGTAATCACTGTAGCTGTTTAGTTCTACATATGTTAGTGAAAAGCTGTCGATTAGGTGTGCAGTATTGTTATTGAGCTAGATGGCATGATTTGGTTGGTATACCGTAGTACAGATTTGATTGCAAAGCTTCTAGTGTCCTAGGCAGGAGATTCCGCGTTGCGTCCAAGATGGAAATTTTGTCTAAGAGGATGACAAAACTTTCTCACTTGTGAACCATTCAACTCAATAAACACAACTACACCAAAAACATCCATCTTCGCTTCAAATCTCCACTATTTCAGAGTATTAGACTTTTAAAACTGAGATTCATTTGCATGACTTATGCACCAATTAGCGTTATTGTTTTAGAGCATTATTTCACGTCATATAATCTGAGGCTCGTCCACTAGATTGAATTAAAATGTGCTCAAATAAATGTAGTCTTTGAAGTCTTTGGTTAGGATGAAGAAACTTAAAGAGCTGATAGCTTTGTAAAACTTTCGAGGAATTCTGCCCAAATAAACGTCTCAAACTTAATTTTTTGTAATAATTATCTTATTATTAAGAGATTCTGATCAAGCATGACATTTAGTTTAACCTAATAGTCACAGAGTATCTTCTAAAGACTAAGTAGGACTTTAAAATATTTTCCGTTTAAAAGATCGACGTACTTGGTGTGATGAGCATTTATTCCTGAACATCTTGGGTAGTTTGTAGCAATGCGTTTCAGTCGGAAATACAATAAGTTTCCACATCCTGATTGTTTAATAGTCTTATCTTAGAAGTTTCAAGTAATTTTGTAATTATGTCTGTGTGATTTAGTACGAAAGCAAAACACGTGTAGTTCGGCGAAGAGGCTCTTCTCGGTGAATTCATTTTCCACTGTAGTTGCACAATCTCATTTATATATTTATAATCCTTTTTCATGAAAGAAGTTAGTGATAGAAGTGATGAGTTGTCACAAACATATTTGTTAATATTAGCAAGTGCATAAAAGGAGCTGATGATTTCTACCGACTTGATGTTTGTTTGCCTGTTTTCCTAATTCTTTCTAACTCTTGTATTTCCTTAGAACTCCTACACAGTTCCACAATTTCCTTCCTATCAATATGCATCTTGATCACAACTCGTTCATTAAATTATTCATATTATTACTTTACTCTAATACAGTTATTCAACTCCTTTTATTCATTGACTAATATTAACAACTACGATGACTGTGACAGCTCATCACTCTTGTTACTACCATCTTTCTTGAGAAAGTTGTATACAAATACGGTTGTACAGCTGAAGTGGGAAATGAATTCACCCAAAAAGAGCCTCTTTGCTGAACTACATGTTTTATGTTCTTTTCATTAATGTCTGGATTCGGATTATTCATAAATTTGTATGGATTGTATAATATTTATTATGATGTGTGTATATTGAATGAATGTTATTTGTAATCTTGTTAGAAATTGTATTCATATAAGTTTCTTTTCTTTTTGGTATGACATTTTAGATATGGTCCGGATAATTCATGTCTTTTCCAATCAGAATTTTCCAATGGTGTTGGGGTGAGCAGCAGTTGTTCATCTCGTGGTACTCTGTTCACAAGTCAACATGACTACGAAAAGCATCTAGTAGGATTTCATCTTTTAAGGCATCCTGTATATAAACATTTCGGTTCAAAATCACTTCAGTCTGAGCATCATGTTACCACTCCCCAGTGTAAAGGTAAATTTATACTGCCTATCTTTATTGAGTCATTTTGAGTCAGATATTACACTGGTGTCATTATTTCTGAAATGGAGTGACTAATGGGGTCCACCCAGTTGGGAGTGAAGATAAATACTCGCCAGTGATGACATTGACTGGTAGTTGGCGAGCTAAATTCACGAATTGACAGAAGTTAGAATTCATGGGGTGGCCATTGAGATGGTTCCTGGTCTCCGAATGGTCTACGAGTTTGCCTTGTACCCAGAAGGCCCTGGGTTCGAGCTCTGCCGGTAAATGCGTACTGCAGATGAGTTACAAGCACTAGGGCGAGTCAGCTGGTTTTCAATGATTCCCTAACTGATATCAGTCTGTGATCAAACTTAGACAACAAATCAAATCCCTAGAAACAAACTCTTGTAGTAATTTATAGCCAATTTTTTTTTTATGGTAAAAATCATCTGAAGTCAGAAAGTGCAACTATTCCTTACGTATGAACGTTTATTATCTTTTTCAAATTTTGTGTTGATTTGTTTACTTTGTTAAAGATGTTAAATATACAACAACATGATTTTTAATTCTCACTTTTATCTAGGGGCTAGCATTTAATTTAACAGTTTTAGTCGTCAAATTCACACACCCTTAATGAAATTTACATTCTAAATACAATTTAATCCTATCGGCTTGTTTGTGTCTATCCATCAGTGTAAATATGATTTGCTTTACTCTGTACAATATTTTCATACTTATTGATATTCGTAATTTTATTTTTTACCTGTCGTATATTCATCATGCATTTATATATTGTGATAGGTGATGTCGTCTGTGTCTACGTCTCTCAGACAGAGAAAGCCTAGTTAATAAAGTCATTGTATACCTTCTCTTAGCTTATTTTCAAAATCAACATTGGCTCGTCGCATATACCATCTAATTTTATACATTTCCCCCCACCTCCCGTATCACATCATATTTAATATCTACCGTTTTTAAGTAATGCAACTGGCTTTAAACAAATAAACGCAGCAACTATTGTTACTCTTGTTATGGCAGCAACATCACCAAAGTGTAGGAAGTTCATAGGGTCTTGATGTGGAATTTATGGATCTATATTATTATTATTATTAGTTTTTGCCTTGGTTTCTGAGTGGAACCAAGGGCTTCAGCAACAAATCTTCACTTTGTCCTCTTCACTGCAGTTTTTTTAGCTGGGTACGCGATGGACCATAAACTCCCACCTCCTCCCCATACGATCTTCTCCATGTCCCCTTTGAATATACGCCCAACTCATCGTTTCCCATTTCGGGTCTTACTCGAGCAGTGTTCTGGCGTGTGATGTCACCCAACACTCTCCTCAGCATGTGTGCAATCCATCTCCGTTTTCTTCTGGATATTTGTTAAGCAAATGATTCTTGGTTGGTATACCGTCAGAGTTTCCTGTTGCTAATCCTTTCTGGCCAGCCATCTGATATTGAGTATGGAGAGAAGGCAGCTGTTGATAAAACTCCTCAGTAACCTGTTAAACATGCTTTCAGTGACGCGCAGTGCAAGTTTCTCATCCATATAAAAGAACTGACTAACTTGACGTTAGTTTTGAAAATCTGAATACTGTTGTTTATGCTGAGTGCTAAAGATTCCCAAACTGCTCCTGGCTGGTTCTGAAATCTTCATCCATGCTGTCCGCCTTCAGTTAAAGTAATGCAGCGTAGATGAGTGAAGGTAGTAACGTCGTTCAAATTTCTTCTGTTGATAGTGATTGGCGCTTGTTGTTGTTGTTTCGTTTTGTTATCTTCATCACCTCCGTTTCCTGTATGTTCACTTGAAGTCCTGTCTTTATTGCCTGCTTCTTCTACCAGTTTGTTGTTTTTCGTCTGTAGATTTTCGAGTATGTGTGACATAAGACATAAATCCTATATCAATAAGACATAAATCGTCTGCGAAGCCCAACGTATTCCTGTCTTCTCGCTCCCCATGCACGGCGTTCTGCATAATCCAGTCGACGACAATTAGGAGTAATCAGCCTTGGCTTTCTCTTATCTTCACTTCAAAGGCTTCTCTGAGTTTTCCATTGTGGATCACTTGGCATGTGGCATTATGATACAGCTGCTGAATGAAGTTGATAAAGATTTGGGGTTCTGCACTCCATAGTGTTGTAATAGTTCCTAAATTACTTCATCGTCAACTCTATGGAGGGTCTTTTCACTGTCGATGAAGTTGAGATAGAGATTTGACTACCATTGTGTGCTCTGTTCGATGACGATGCTTCGAGTTGATCAACGCATCGTTTGCTTTTCCTGAATCCAACTTGTTCCCGTCAGAGTTTTGCATCCGATGCATCTTTTATTCTCTCCAGGATGGAACGACTTTGCATTTTACTTGGCGTAGACAAGAGCATAACTCTGTGCCAGTTCTTGCAGAAGCCTAAATCGCTCTTCTTGGTAGCTTGACAAGATAGCCTTTCTTCCAGTCAGTGGGTATCTTTCCTCCCTTCCAAACTTTTTGTCTCTAGTGGCGTCAGCATATCCACTGAGGACTCTGGATCCTTTTTCAGTGTTTCAAGAGGAATTCTGTCCGGTCGTGCTGCCTTCCTGGCTGACTTTCTGTAGCTTGGCTGCATTCAAGACTTCTGCTTTCGTTGGAAGATTGGTATATACTGGCAGTTCTATGCCTTCTGTTGGTGGTATTTATGCACGAGTTGCAAGTGATGGTCCGTTTAGAAATCCTTTCAAGTGATTGGCCCATTGTTTTATTTGTTTACCCCTTGACCATCTTTTATTTGTCTCATCTGAGTTGATCTCTTCCAGGATAGAGGGATCTGGTTATCTGATATGATGTCCTGAGGTCACTTCAAAACACCGATTTATAGCTGCTCCTCATTTAATCTGTCCCATTTTCCTTTAAATTATACTTGGAGATTATTCTCAGTAGTGTGTTTACAGATAATCAATACCTTTTATGTTTATTGCTGCAAACTATCTCAATGAACCTAGTAAATATTTTGTCTTGTTCTGTCAATACTTTTTTTGGTATTGATTAGTAAAAATTAATGTACATTCATTTGAATAGATCTATAATTGAACGACTATAGAGAGAAAATAATTTCTATTGCTCCATTACTATAGCTGAACTGTCATTCAACTACCTTTTCCAAGTCAATGCCTTTGGCAATGAACCACACCTACTGCGTGTGTGTGTGTTTGTGTTAGCTAATGATATACTACCTGGCTGCTCAAATCTCTGTAGGTGGAGCTGTGCTAGAACTCATGATACAATAGTTGGGAGTCGAAAGTCTAAACAAATGAACCACAGCTTCGTCCAGTGCTTTACAGTGCTTCGTTTTATGCATATCAAAAAGTACTTTGAATGCTATAAGTATTCTCTAGGATGATTTACGCATCGTAGGCGAGAGGAATAGTGATGTAATAGTGGAAACAATTGTCCAACCGACTGACTGATTAGTTGCCACATAGAACTTGGCACAAAGTGCCCCACTTCAAGTTACCACACTCCATGTACCACACAAATAAAAACAAACAAGGGAAAAATAGATTTCAAATAAATGTGATAAGGAGAAATGGGAGGGAGGGACAATAGTAACACTGAAAAACAATAGGTTTTTTTGGATACAGCAGACCACAGAGAGAGATTGTATCTGCGCCACTGAGAAAGATTTTGAGCCAAGTTATCGATGTTCTCCAGCCAATGGTTCCTAGAATCCTGAGGACCCCAATCAGGCAATGTACACTTTCCTTTGTGACTGGGTCAAAACAGCTGTCAAAGATGTGATAGATTGATTCCAGGTTTTGGTTTGACCACTCACACTAACTCTTATCCAACATAATCCTATGTCAGTTAACATTCCCCGTTGAGGAGGGCGATAACTAGGTATGCGGAACACCTGTCCTGGCCATCTCAACCACTGTCACTTCACAACCTCATCGATTAACTTTCCCTCCTTACCTAACACTCGACCGACGCCTAACCTCAATATTATTCACTCTATTATACCATCGGACATAGGAGATAAAACTCAAGCACCTGTGATGAGAGATAGCTAACCTTTTCGTGTCTTCCACTTTCAGTGGCCATGTTTCACAGTCATGAAGGAGGGCGGAGAGAACTTCTACCCAGTACACATGTGATTTGATCGACAACCAGCCGGCTATCACATCTACGTCTGAAATGGCGTATGTTGGTAAGTCCCACAGGAGCTTCGGGTATCCGTGCTGAGATTTCGTCAGCAATCAGTCTGTTGTGGCTGATTCAACTTCCTAAATAAGCGGAGTTGTCAACACACTCTACCAATTCACTCACTATCTTCAAGCCAGAATTTGGTGTATTTCAAATCCTGTGGCATCATCGTGCATTTGACAGAAGCGAATTACACGCCGAACATTCGAAGACTTCCAATCAATGTGTTCAGAAGATTTCGAACTTTAGTTAGAAACAACAGATTGAGCGAAGAAATATGTCACTTTTCAATTAGTTCCTCATCATCGGCTGGCTCTACACTAATATATAGTTTTTTACATCAAAATTTTGCCAATCAACTGGTTGTTTTAGTTAATCAGTTTTAGGTATAAGGAGGTGATTGGCAAAATTTCGATGTAAAAATATATATATATATATTAGTTTTGAGCCAGCCGATGATGAGGAACTAATTGAAAAGGAACATATTTCTTCCTTCAATCTGTTGTTTCTTCTAAATGTACAAAGGATAATTTCAAATTTTGTCAGTGTCTCCATCTAGAGGAGGACAATATCATCCACAGGACTATCCTGGTAACAGTTCAATCCCTTTATCTCTGAAGCTAATCAGCGTCAATTTCATTAATACATCTCTGGTGAAATTAAACAGGAATAGGAACAGCTGGCATCTGGGATGGACACCACTACTGGCTGTCATCAATTCAGACGACAGCTGTCCGTTTTAAAACTAAACAGATATAATCTCGTTAGTTAATGATGAAAGCTGAAGGCTGAAGTTTTAGAAATCTACTGTTATGTTTACTGTCACACTGTGTTAAACTTCAATGAAGTTAGAAATAAATAAGGGGATTTTGTAGTTCAGATGGATGATATTAGTATAATTTTATACCCTTTGAGCTAGATGATTTAATCGCTGAGCTTTTATTGTATCATTCTAGACAATATTTCTCAGTGTGTTGAATTTAACTTCACCTAGGTGATCTACCATATTTGTGATGATTATTTTGGTCTTGTTTTTCTTTGGTTAAATTTAGACAAACCATCTCGTAAATGGAGTGTATATAAATCAGTTGTGAATTTACCAGCTGTTCTGAATGATCCAAATTATCGTGAGGTAAGTTTCTTCTCCTTCTTCTTCAATTATAGTTGTTGCCTTCTTGAAAATTTTTGTTGATTTTGAAGCTGTCGGTTGAACCTTCCGAGTGGAACATAGGACTCCAAGCTAGTGCTTTAACGTTTTTTTAACAGTGGTTTTATTTCTTTCTACAGGGTGGGGGGTTGCTAGCTTCACGCCCAGTTTCCCTCTCTTTATCAGCCTTACCACAGGCTTATCGAGATTTTAGGAGTGTGTCGATCAGGCGTCGAACCCTGAACCACGTGAGGTGTAGTTGACAAGCGTATTCATTCTACTGCTGAACCATTAACGCTTATCTAATGAAGTTAACCATAATTTGTAGCAACACTGTTTTATTATTTTTTTCTTCGCCGTTCAGTTTCGCATCTCATTAACTTTGTCTGAAAATGATAAATCTGTAAGGAGAAATAGTTGTTTGATAAAACAAAGCATTTTTCCACGGTTTCCAGTTGATTATCTTCAAACATCTTATATTATCTTGACTAACAGAATTCAGTTAACACTAAGAGACTAGACAGTATGACATTTGTCACTCGATAAAAACAAAATAATTGAGCAAAAAGTATTCTTTTCGATAAATTCCTCTTCTGGCTCTACAATTATATATATGGTAGGAGCACTTTAGACGCTGCAGCCGTCTTACACAACAGTATCATCTCATCATTAGATAAAGGTGCCAAATATGCCCGCTGCACGTTTCTCGACTTCACTTCTGCTTTCGACTCTGTACCTAGATGTCTCTTGCTAAATAAGCTCTCTATGACAAAAGTTGAGTCCTGGGTCACTAACTGGCTGCATTCCTACTTCTCTAACAGAATGCAGTACAACGTATACAAAGGTAAATCCTCCTCTGCTGCGCTCACTGAAGCTGGTGTCCCACAAGGCGCTGTACTCTCCCCACTTCTCTTTTCTTTCTTTCTACATGACTTACCAACTTCAAATGACATTAATTTTGTCAAATATGCTGACGACCTGACTGTATCTTTGCCTATCAAATGTCGAAGCGACTGCTCTAAACTTAATGGCTTTCTGTCAGAAATCAGCCAGTGGTCCAAGGAAAACGGTCTTGCCCTAAACCCCTCCAAATGCCAAACAGTCAATTTCACCTTTAGGCATAAATCCGACCTAAACAAACTGGTTGGCTCTCACGAAGTATGCAACATAGACGGCACTGAAATAGAAACCAAATCGGGAATTAAATAACTAGGCGTCATTCTATCTGCTGATCTCTCCTGGTCGTCTCATATCTTAGCGATTTCTAAGAAAATATTCTGTCTTACCTTCTACATCAAGAAGTTAAAACATTCTGGTATGACTCAACCCTTACTCCTACAATTCGTTAAAGGTTGTCAGCAGGGTTAGCAACGTGCCATTTAACCAGCTTTTTAATATTCTGGTTGACAGGCACATGGACTCATGTGAAAAATAGGCTAAATCCATTTTATCTAACTCACACCACCCTCTTCACTCACAACTCTCCCCTTGCATCTCATCAGGTAAAACCAGAAGCCTATATAGAAAACTATAATGCTTGGACCAGCAAGTACAAAAACTCAACCATACCCTACTTAGTTCGTGTTCTGTGCGATAAAGAAAGCATTAGGCGTGACACCTATAATTCATTAAATAGTCAGTAGTACAACTGAACCTTGTCTTTCCAACTCATATCATTTATAGGTACAACATTTTCCTTCTTTCTTTTCCTTTTCTCTCTCTCGTTTCCTGTTTCCGTTATGTGCTGCTTTGTTTCTTTCTCTCGCTTACGCCAGTAAATATGACAGCACCTACTTTTCTAACACCTTCAAACACTATTCAGCTTTGGCTTTGCTACCCATATTCCAATATGCTGTTGTCATAATGAACTGAGATTTCCTTAATCTATGTAGAATTTTATATATTGATAATGTACTAACTGGATGCAATACTGTAGTAAAAATGCTGAGAATTCCATTCTGTATTACATGTACTGTTTTGGAATAAAGCAAATTATTATTATTATTACTATGTTTATATACATATAATATTCTAGATTAGTAGTCAATATCAATATTAGTGTTTTAAAAAAATAATAATATGGCTACTAATCTAGAATATTCTATATATATATATATATATATATATATATATATATATATATAATTGTAGAGCCAGAAGAGGAATTTATCGAAAAGGATATTCTTTGCTCACTTATTTTGTGTTTTATAGATGTCTGAATGAATATTTTTCATTCTGTAGCGATCTATCAATCTTTCCATTATAGTACTGCAAACTCAATGACAACTTCTGTGTCTCTGCACCGTTGGGTAACACGGGTTTGAATTACATATGTCCAAACCGAGTTCACATTTAATAGTTTGAAAAAAATTTAGACATAAGTTATATATGATTCATTATAGTAAAGGTTTTTGTACTTCTTAATGTATGAAAAACAAAACAATGTTGGTTTCACTGACATTTCGCTGTTTAATGCTAATAGCTTTATCAAAGTAACACGGATTTGTTAATTAGTACCAACAAGTATGAAAACCAGGTTTAAGATCTCCTGTTGATTACCTCCAATCATTTTGAAATAGTTTTTATGGTTCAGGTTTGATCATGGATTGATATAAGTTAGAGAACCGGCGAAAACCAAAGAGTACTACTGAACAGCTATTTCGTCTTAGTGCTTTGGGACTCTTCAGCAGTAGCCACCCACCAACAAAGATCGAACTCAGGACCTTCAGGTTACAAGACAGTCTCTTAGGTTATTCGATTATGGGTTTGAACCCTGGAGAGTGAGTACTTAACATAAATCAAATCCCTATAAACTCACTGTTGTAAATTTTCATGGTGTTAGGAGAAATTGTTCATGCTGGACTGACGATACAGTTTTGGTAGAACTCTTTAGCTGTGATCATATTGTGGTGAGAGCTGTCTGCAAGCCAAAATTGTAGACAACAATTTACGTCAATGTTCACGTCCCAAATCAGAGTCATAAGGAGAACAATAACAAAGCTTGACCTTGAGCCAATCACAGCGGAGTTCAAGGGTGGAAATATGATTCACAGATATATGACTTGATTTTCTGAGAAACGGCCACTAAGAGATAAGAGAATGACCTTCAGCAAGAAAAAAAAAACCAATCATAAGAGGTTGCTTCTCCGCTAGCAATAACGCTAATAATAATGCACATAAAAATGTATAAATACCTTTTGATTTTCTCAATAAACGATCTGTTGCCTGGCCCCGTGTCTTCTGTCGTTACAATATGATTGAAACGAGTGGGAAATGTATCTTGGTTAGGTTGAATTCGAGTAAGTAACTTCTCAATGATTCATTTGATATCTTACCTGCTGAATGAAGTTTGTAGACTTCCAAACAGAACCGTAGAAGGACGCTTATCTTTTATTCATATTACAAATAGTTCCTAACAGATTCAGTTGCCAGAGTAATTTGAATTGTAGCATGAATAGATGTGCATAGTAATTCAAGGTAAAATTTTCTCAATTTATGCATGTGCGTTATCCCAGTCTTAGTGTAACAGCAGAAAGCAAGACGCGGAAGCCAAGGTATCTTTTCCATTAATCAGACCGCTGTTGTTTATATTCGTTAACCAATCAATCACTGAGCGTGTGATTTTGGCTTACATTAAACGACATGAAATAGAATGTTCAAATATATATATATATATATATATATATATATATATATAGTATTCTGCATGCCAAGTAATCCACAACGGGAAACTTACGGAATCCTTCGAAGTTAGGACAGGAGTCAGACAAGGCTGCCTACTATCGCCAATGATTTTCCTGATTGCAGTAGATTGGATATTGCGACAAACAGTGAGCAATGAGGAAACAGGCATAAAATGCACTCACACAAAAAACTTGGAGGATCTGGACTTCGCCGATGACTTATATATGTCTGATTTCCCACAAACTGGAAGATATGCAAGTTAAAAGCAACGAGTTCGCAGAAGAAGCATCAAATATAGGATTTCAGGTAAATATAGAGAAGACAGAGGTGATGAAGATTCCTGGCCAACACCACCAACAGCAACAACAACAGACAACAATCAGCTTAAATGGAAGGAACCTGAAAGAAACAACCTCCTTTACCACCTACCTGGGAAGCATCGTTTCAAGTACAGGCGGGACTGACGAGGATATCAAAGCAAGAATCGGAAAAGCAAGACAAGCTTTCACTACTCTCAAGTCTATGTGGAGGTCAACAGCACTCAGCATCAAAAATAAGATCCGGATTTTCAACTCCAATGTGAAGTCAGTGCTACTTAACAAACGGATCAGAGACTTGCACTGCGCGTCATAAAGAGCATCTCAAACATACTACAGACCTTCATTAACAGCTGTCTCTGCTCCATACTCAAGATCAGATGGCCGGCCAGAAAAGATCAGCAACAGTGATCTCTGAAAATGAGCGAACCAACACAGCAGGAACCGATTGTGAATCAAATAGACAGGAAGAAATGGAGATGGATTGACTGGCCATACTCTGAGGAAACAATCCATCAAGTGACATCACTAGACAAGCCATTGCTCGAGTGGAACCCGAAAGGGAAGAGGCGAGTTGGTCGTCAGTGCAAGGGTGACTTGGAGGTCATGTGAAGAGGAGATGGAAACGTGTAGGCAGACGTGGAGCCAGGTGAAGACTCTGGCAGAGAACCGAACGCAATGGAGACGCATGGCTGAAGCCCTATGTTCCTCTAGGAATTAAAGGAAACAATAATAATAATATAACAGTATTCTGTTGCTAAAGCAGTTATGAACTGTGGGAAAAGAGTATTCTGAATCTAGCAACAAACAGAATGTTCAAGTAGATATATATCGTATTCTATTGCTAATGTTGTATTGAACTGTGGGAATTTGTGAGAATAATAATATTCCGTTGTCTGTATCACACCACCACCACAATAGTGTTTGTATTTTTTGTGTGTGGAATAACCTCTAGGCTAAAAACAGCGTCCTTAAAAATTTCATATTAGAAAAAGAAAACTATCTCACACTCTATATTTGTATTTCATAACTATAGAATTACAGCTCTAACTGACTGACTGAATTTCAATGTAGAACTTTGCACAGAGGTGTAACAGTTCAAGTTGACACAAACCAGAGCTAGAGAAAAGAAAAGGGAAATTGTAAAGAACTGTAATGGGAAGAAAATTTTAACGGGTGAAAGAGAGAGAGAAAGAACAGTAATGGGGGAAAACAGAAGGGTTTAGTAGAGTGAATGAATCTGTGCTACTGAGAAGGATTTAGAGTCATATTGTAACAACAGAAGGCAAGAGTCAGTCAACAGATCGTTTATTATGGAAATCAACACATATTTTTAGATTTTCATGTACATTAACATAGATTATTGTTAGCAGACAAATACAGTCTTCTGATTGGTGGTTGTTTCTCACTAAAAGTTAATCTTTCATCTCTTTGTGACTGTCTCTTGAATGTCAGATCATCTATCTGCTAATTGTATCGGCCTACGCACAGTCTGCTATCAGTCTTTGTTCTTGTTTTCACATGACTAATATTTGGGACATAAACATTGACGTAAATTACTGTCTACCAATCTGGCTAGCAGCCAGCTCTAACCAGAATATCAACAATAGTCTCAAGCATTTGGTTCTTTGAATATTGAAGACGACAGCCAGCCAGCCAAGCAGTCTACACCTTCTTACGTGGCTGGCTGAAACTAAATGTCAAAGATGTGATGGATTTATTCCAGGCTTTGATTTGACCATCCTTAACTCCTTTCCAACTTAACTCCTATATCAGCTAACGTTGCCCTTCAAGGTAGGCAAGGGCTTAGAATAAGCGACACGTGTTCTTGCCATCTCAGTCAATTCACCTTCACAACCTCATCGATTGACTGGCTTACTCTCGTTACCTAACACTTTATGCCTTACCTCATATATGTATTTTACTCACCTTATTATACCATCTAACACCGAAGATAGAATGCAGATTGATTTTCACTGGCTTTTTTCAAACTAATGTCATTATATAATGAACACAATTTTTGATGCTAAAAAATCAATTGATTTTGACTAAATAGAGAATGACCGAGTCAATCTGATTTATAGTTAGTTAAACTACCTTTAGACATGATCCTTTTTTTTCGCATTCTCGTCAACACGTGAGTATTTTCTCTTTGATCCAGTTTGTTAGAAACACACAGTGAAAATTGTTTTTGCAGTTGTTCTGCACATTATTACTGTTATGCCAATTTTTTGAGAATAGTAAAGTCACATGAGATATTCACTATTAGAAGTGTGATTGTTTGTCATACGATAAGAAAAAGAAAATTGATTATGATAACCAAAGAAAAGAAATTTTTGTTCATTGAATTATTGAATCATTTAACCTTGAAATCGTTGACTCACGTTATCTTTATTGATATTATTACCGTTATTATACTTTCAGAATCTGTCTATAATAGACAATAAACCATATTTTCATGAATTAATTTTTAAGGATTTGATGTGTTTTAGGCTTGATCACGAGCTGACATTAATTAGAGAACCAGTAGAAAACTAGGGTATACACTAGACAGCTGTTTCGTCCAAGTCCGAGACTCTTTAGCAGTTCGAATGCAGGACCTTCTGGTTACAAAGCCAGCTTGTATGCCGTCCAGCAGCAACAGGCAGCCGATCCAGTTGTTGATGAATTCCAACTACTACTAGGAATTCGTGGTTTTAGCACGACTGACTTGTCAGTGTCATCGGTGAGTGTTTGTACTCACACCGAGTATGATGGATCCCACTGGTCACAACTTCTCACTGGAACTCCAGGGAACATTGTCTTGTAGCCAGTCACTGGTGAGCATCAGATTAATCTTCATGAGTGTTAGTCTGTGGGGATTTGATTGGTTTCAAGTTTTATCACAAGCTGATGACATTAATTAGAGAACCACTGGGAAACCGAGGAGTATTAGAGTAGTGAGGCGAAGTGTGATAATTTTCTCTATCTGATGGTTGTTTTATTTTCTGGATCAGATAAGTAAATTAATTTAAAAGCATTTAGTAAGGTTGTTGACTGTGTTTGCATCCTAGTGAGTGATAATGTTCCTGTTAATACTTCAACCCACTATCCACCGTTTTACACCTCAGAGTATCACTCACAGGGCTATTGAGCCACACGAGTCACTTTTTCCGCAATAAGCGACCTACAGGTAGTTTATCCCTTTGTGTTTTGCATTCGTATTAACGTGAAACTGATTATGCATGTGTATGAATAGTAATGGAAGGTTAATAAGTAACTTGCTGTTTGAGATGAACTGACTTAACCCTAACTAACTTGAGCGACTCAGGGATTGAATTGTTACCATCAGGGAATAATCTCGTTAACTTTGGATATGCGGATGATATATTCCTTCTAGGTGGAGATGGTGGTAGAATGCAAGGTCTTCTGAACACCTCGAGTGGAAGTCCTCAAATGTTCGGAATGCGATTTGCCTTTATCAAATGTAAGATGAAGCTACAAAACTGGAGAACACTGTCTTCTAACCTAAAAAAATGAGCGAAGTAGTGGAGCGTGTTGATCACTTCACTTATCTAGGAAGTTGAATCAGCCCCAACGGACTTATAGCTGACGAGATAAAAAAGGCTCCTGTGGGATTTACCAACATACGCCATCTCAGGCGTAGATGTGATAGCCGCCTGGCTGTCCATCAAATCACATGTATACTGGGTAGAAGTTCTCTCCACCCTCCTTCATATCTGTAAAACATGGTCACTGAAAGTGGAAGACACGAAAAGGTTAGCTATCTCTCATCACAGGTGTTTGCCTTTTACCTCTTATGTCTGATGGTATAATAGTGTGAATAACATTTAGGTTAGGCATTGGTCGAGTGTTAGGTAAGGAGGGAAAGTTAATCGATGAGGTTGTGAAGTTACAGTGGTTGAGATGGCCAGGACAGGTGTTCCGCATACCTAGTTATCGCCTTCCTCAACGGGAAATGTTAGCTGATATTGGCTCAAGCTGGAAAAGAGCTAGTAGTGGTCAAACCAAAACCTGGAATCAGTCCATGAAATCCATAACAGTTAGTTTAAGTCAGCCACGTACGGAAATGTAGACTAACCTCCTGGTTGGGGTCCTTGGGATGGTAAAAATCAATAGTTGGAGGCAGTTGGTGATATGGTACGAAATCGTTCTTAACGGTGTATATGCATTCACTATTTGTGATTTATCATATCCAATAAACCTCTGTTCTTCTTTTACTTCTTCGATATTACTATTCTTTTTCCCTCACACTTCTCTTTATTGTCTCGCTTTTGACTCTCTTTGCTTTGTGTGTGTGTGTGTGTGTGTGTGTGTGTGTGATACATTGATGGAAAGTGGTAACTTAAACTGCTGCACATCTGTGCAATGTTGTTTTCTATTGAAACCAGTCTCAATCAGTGAGAATATAATCTTTTTTTAGAGGTCTTTTATACCATGATATTTCTTTTTTAATTATAAACCTAATAATAATATCTCTGCTTCTCCTTTTTTGTTATCAGGTAGATATATTTACAAGAATATGGGGTGATAAATTTGAGAATGCTGAAGTTCTGCCTTGTCCTCATTTACCTGTGATAACAGAGAAACACTTTGAAGACTACCTTTCTAAACTTGGAGTTTGTAAAGTTGATACAAATTCAAAAATATCAACACCAAGGTGTCAGAATCATTCCTTAAGACATTCACACAATGGCATTTCTACATCATCCAACTCTCCGTCGTATTCTTCGTCCTCTGCATCCTCTTTATTGCAGTTGACTAATATAGGAGGTATGTATAAAAGTTGACTTTTGTTCTCATTGATTTTTCTCTGTGTTCATAAATGAATGTAATCTAGATAGCATACTTTGTATGTTTTTAAGTATACAATAATCAAAAGTTGTGTGTTTACCCACCTTGAAAGAAAAATTATCAAAGTTCATTTGATATTAGTTTGTTTATTAGATGTATCACACGGTGAAACAGTATTATTATTTACTGGATGACGTTTCGAACAAAATTTTTATTGTTCATAATCATATCAATTGTGATCACACGACTTTGACACTTGAGTTTTATAGTTTTCTTTGTTCTCTCCTATTTGTCGTCGTAGGGGTAGTAGAATTTTCCAGATATTGGGGACAGGTGATGAATCATTCCTATTACATGTATTTGTAGTTGATTCGATAAACAAAGCTTCTGTTATCAATCTCTCCCTATACCCTGTGACATTAGATTTTAAAACTGTCATCCTATCCCATCCTATTGTATGGTTGTGTGTAACTGCATGTAGTGCTATAGCTGAACTATTCTCTAGATTTCTTATCTTATTCGGGTCAACTGATCTAGATTTTACTGTTAGGTTTTTATGCTCGGCTAGTCTGACTGCCCCTGTTCTACTAGTTTGACCTATGTATTTGACCTGACAATTATTGCAGGCAGGGTATTAGATAAACTAAATTGTTTTGTTTTAAAGGCTCTACAGGATCCTTTAACCGACAAAGCTTGTTTCTAATTGAGTTTGTGGGTTTAAATGCCGTTTTTATTCCTGCCTTGTTAAGAATTCTGCGTAAGGCTTCCGAGGTTCCTTCCTTGTATGTGTGATATACCTAATAAACAAACTAATATGGAATTACTTACTACCACAGTGCCCAAGTTTTACACATATATTAAAGTTCATTTGAGTTTGTTGAATAATGAATGATAAAAATTTTCAAGAGTTTGTTTATATAGGGATTATGATTTGTTTCTCAATACATTGATCATGGATTGATGTCAGTTAGAGAACTATTGAAAACCGGTGACGTTCACCTAATCGAGTGTGAGGACATATACACTCGTCAGTGACATTAGTTAGTTGTCGTGCTAAAATCTCAAACTGACAGAAGTTAGAATTCATTGGCCAAGTTTTTGAATAGTCAAGTAGCTTAACTGGGTTTGATTCCCAAGCGGTGGGGGGGCTGTAGGTGCGTACCGCTGAAGAGTGCGAAACTAGTACAAAACAGCTATACAATATTCCCTGGTGGTCTTCAATTTTACTCTAGCTGACACGAGATAAAAATTTTATTTCTAAACAATATTTCACTTTGTATAAATATTGATTATTCAAACTTTTCAACCCGGAATACTGCTGACTAATGCGCAGAGGATAATTTATTATACTTTTAAAGACCAGGGTATCATGGTAAAATATTTCAAGACGCTTTGGAAAGCTCGGTGTAGTGCGTTTTTTGTTAACATAAAGTTACAATTCATTCATAAATCTTTCTTTCTAGACAGGTTGATGCCTTCATTTGATAATAGATTGAGCAAGTAAAGGATTCATGGTTCCTTGTTCTCCATATCCTTGAAGTTGTAAGCAAACGCAGGCGCGCATGCATACACACAGGAATTTAGTTATGACGGGACTTTATACAGATAGTGTAGAGGGAGTCGAAATCTTCTATCAATGACTTATAATTAAACGGTTTATTTGTACTAATCGTTGGTAGCTGAATAGTCGACTAGCTTGATTCTCGTAACCTGGAGGTCTCCGGTTCGATTCCTGGTGGGGTCATTGGGTGCTCACTGACGAAGAGGTCCAGAACGATGAAACAACTGTTCAGCAGTCCTTGGTGGTTTTCAATGATTCTATAACTGATGTGTGTTGGCTCATGACAAAATCTATTAACTGAAATTAAGATGAGTACTTTAGCACATATGCTTGATTTTCGCTTGACAAACTAAGCCGAAATGCTCACTTTTCAAACAATCTGCTGTTTAGTCTTCTCGATATAATGGCAGTCTAAATTATTCTTATTCTAATTAATTAATTAATCAATTAATTTATTATGAATATTTTCCTTTAAATTCTCTTTTTCTCTTAGTTTCTGGCAATGAAAAACCGTTGCCGCATAGTTCTATTTCATCCATACCTGATTTATATTTTGATAAAAGCTTCAATTTAAAAGATGAAAAAACATTTTGTCAGGTTATACCATTGCTTCCACGTCGTTCGCATCGTGGTGATAATATTCAAGATTCAGTTACTGCAACAAACTCCTCGTGTACTTTGAAACAATTGAAGGATCCAAGAGACGAAGAATTTCGTCAAAGGGAAGCTTTTCGTCATCAGCACGATCAATTGGTCAATTATTTAGATATTGTGGAATCGAATATAGCTGAACAGGTATCAAAATACGTTTTACTTACTTTGTAGCTTCTTTTTCTTCTTCTAAGTTCTTAATCTTTTTCATTATTTCAAACTCTGAGATTGTTGTTACATGGTTGAAGGCAATCAATCACCAGCATGCCCTGCTTGACCTAAGTTTCGTTCTTGTTGGCACTCATCAGTCAGTAAGGCGTATCTGCAATCTTGAAGGAACAACTCATGTCTCTTCTGAGATTAGAACTGGAGTCATGCAGTTCTGCAGTCAGAGACGTTACTGTTGAACAATTGGGGGGTGGGATTGGATCATGATTGACAATCTGTAGGATTGTAATGGGTATTTAATTGAATTTTAGATTTTCCCGTCGATTGATTTGACCGAAGTGCTCGGTTTCAGGTTGACATATCGGCTTCTTGTGCAGATGCTTCGACGGTGTCTGGGCATGTAATCAGAATTTAATTGGTGGATGGTGACTGGCAGTGGAATCCAGGATGTGCATTTCGTCCTATTTGGGACTCGCCAGCTGGATGTACCTGCATTCCCCAGTGAGTGAGCTTCGGAGGGAACATCATCACTCACTGGGGAATGCAGGTACATCCAGTTGACGAGTCCCAAATAGGACGAAATGCACATCCTTGATTCCACTGCCAGTCACCATCCACCAATTAAATTGTAATGGGTACTTTGTGATTCGACATTAGGTAGTGACTGATTCATGCGTGTATTGAATGAATCACGGAGTATTTTTAAAATAAATATTTTTATCAAGTTAACATTTCATATGTGCAATAGAAATAATACAGAGTATAATTAGTAAATAAGTATAACTATATCCTTGTATCCTATCCTATACGAAATAGACTCATTGTTTTACGAACTGTAACGTTTCATGATTACTTTCAATTGTTATGTGTATATTTATGTGTATTGCATATATTTTGATAGGTTTCGAAAAAATCATCAACATTTTTTGAAGCAATACAATCTCATGATGTTATACGTGAAGATTTACGTCAAGTTATTCATCAGATCAAGGATGTGCGGTAGGTCGACAATAATAAAATATACTGTTCTCTTAGTTTTACACTGTATCCCCTATTGAAATGTCTTCAAGGTATCTTTCAGTCTGTCCGATTAAACATCATTGTGATAACATGATGGCAATATATACATACTACTAGTGGATATTTGAAAGCTTGCTAGCCCCCCCCCCAGATCGAAGCTATCTATACACACACACACACACACACACATTTGACATTTCTTTCACTTGTTTGTAATCGTGTTGATCAGCGGTTAACTTGAATTGATTCAGCTCACAGAGAGCTGTTCCAGTTCAGACAATCCAACTTCTAGTAGTTTTCTCATCTGACATTTGATTGCTGTAATAAAGTTAGCGTTTGTTGTTTAACGTGTTTTTTTTTCAAGAATGGATAGGATATTTTATTCGACTAATCTAGTTCATTTTTTTACTAGTGAACAGAAATATGGACTGACTAGATGAATACTATTCAAACACTATTATTATCATCCCCTGGAGTTCCTAGTGGGAATATAGCGTGCTTGTCAGTGGTACATCTCCATTTCAATCTGTTCTCTGTAACCAGAAGGTACTGGGTTCGAATCACGGTGGGTGCGTACTGATGAAGAGTCCCAAACTAGGACGAAACAGTTGTCCAGTACTCCCAGGTTTTCCAATGGTTCTGTAACTAATATCAGCTCATGATGAAAATCCTGTAACCAATCAAATCCCTACAAACCAACACTTGAATGTTCTCTGCAATGTTTCTTACCTGATTCCACGACTGTCTATAAGCTTACACTTCCTGCTCACACAATGTCTCCTCCATGTCACCCTCGAAAGCCCAACTTGTTGCTCCTCACTCGGGTTCTATCTAGAAGACGTGGTATGTGATGCCGTTCAATGGTCTTCTCAGCATATGTCTTATTATTATATTATTATTGTTTCCTTTAATTCCTAGAGGAACAACATAGGGCTTCAGTCGTGCGTCTCCATTGCGTTCGGTTCTCTGATAGATTCTTCACCTGGCTCCATGTCTGCCCACACATTTTCATCTCCTCTTCACATGACCTCCTCCAAGTCACCCTTGCACTGACGACCAACTCGCCGCTTCCCATTCAGTCGGGTTCCACTCGAGCAATGGCTTGTCTATTGATGTCACTTGATGGATTGTTTCCTTAGAGTATGGCCAGCCAATCCACCTCCATTTCTTCCTGCCTATTTGTTCCACAATCGGTTTCTTTTCTCCAGTATTTCTTGGGTGATAGTTTCTTGGTTGGTTGATTGGTTGCTAGAGTTCCTTGTTATTTATCCTATGTGACCAACTGTCTGATCTTTGTTGTGCAGCCAACGAAATCGGCTGTTGATGAAAGTCTACAGCCCCTATTGGTGAGATGCCTTTTGTGACTCGTCGAGTTAATCATGTAACATTAGTTCTATAAAACTCCTAGTCTTGTTCTCTATGCTGAGTACTCAACAGATTTTCACACTGATTTCAGATTAATAAAGGTCTGTTTTACTCTCCCTATCCTGACTGGCTTTGACAATTCTCATTCGTCTTTCATTAGTTGATTAAATTATTCCTCTTTTTTAAGTAGTCTGTTCATTTGTGCATGATATAACAGGTGATTTTCACATTGATTAACAACATGATAAATTATTGTTGGTCATTTCAGGTGGTTATATGTGTATATATGCATACTTTGAAGATTTTTACGGATTAGACTCACATGTGACCCACTTCATAATCCATATTGATTTAAATTGTAGTTTCATCCTTTTGCATTGACTGAATAAGTTTCAAAATAGCATATTTAACAGTATACAGTGCAGCAGATCGAATTGCCACTCTGCATGTAGCACACAAAGACAGAGAAAAGGGAAAAACAGAGGGATTCCAAAGGACTACAATAAGCAGAAAATAGAGTAAGCGATAAAGAAAAAGCGATAACAAGGAGAAATGTTACAGTTTTAATGAATACAAGAGATCAAAAAGAATGATGAAAGCATCTTCAGCATTGAGGACGATTTCGAGCCATATCACCGATTGTCTTCAGCCACTGGTATATAGAATCCTGAGGACTCCAATCAGACACTGTACATCTTCCTACATGGCTGGCTGAAACCCCGCTGTCACAGATTTGATGGATTTATTCCCGGTTTTAGTTTTCCAACCTAATCCTATATCAGCTAACATTTCCCGTTGAGAAAGGCAATAACTATTTATACGAAACACGTGTCCTGGCAATCTCAAACGGTGTCACCTAACAACCTCATCACCTCATCATCACTACACTTAACCTCAATATTGCTCACCTTATTATGACACTTAACATAAGAGATAGAAAGCAGACGTCTATGATGAAAGACAGCTACCCAGTCTTTTCATGTCTTCTACTCCCAATGACCATGTCTTACAGCCATGATGAGGCAGGACGCGTTGAATTACTGTCCAGTACACACGTGATTTGATGGATAGCCCCAGCCGGATATCACTTCTACTCAAGAGATTAATGCAAGTCCATTGCTTAACCGTGCAGGATGATGTTCAAAAATCTAATAATGAACCTGTCTAATTGTTCGCTCAATGTAAATAGTTCCACAGGAATAGTCACATTAGTAGATATGTATAGAGAAGTCAAAAATAGCTACTTTATGCTTCTTTCTTGAATGTAATATTGTAGTGGTTGTGAAGAGACAGTGTATCTATCCTGCGCTTAATGCCCATTTTGCTACAATGTTTACGATCTATGTTACTATTTTGCTGGTGGTATCACCATGAAACTGATCGAAGCCTTCTTTGGAACTGTTTCCACACTGACCACTTACCTTGGCTCTAAACCTATATGTTTGTCAATGAACTGGATAGCTTAAGTTGTTTTGTTTAATTGGTCACACAGGATCCTTTAACCGATAAAGTTTATTTCTAATTGCGTTTGTGGGTTTGAATGCCAACAGACAAAATTAGAACTGGATAGCCATTTTTTGCTGAATAATTAATTCTATGATAATCCTAAGCTACTTATTAAGAGAGTTGTTTAAGCAGATTGCTCTTGCTCTATGAACCAAATGCTTTACTGACTTGCGTTTACATTTCAAAGGTGCGAAGCTCAAAAGTAGTGAGTGTAACTGACCTGTCGTTGTAGATTTTCTATAAACACACCTTACTATACCCTGCTCTTTCCTGGTCCAAAAAGACGTCTAGGAATAAAATATTACCATGGTTAATTATCACCGCCTCGATATGTTTAAAAAATTTTTTAATTCCTTTACATTCCCAGTGGAACATAGGGCTTCAAGCTATAGGCTTGAAATTTCGGTAGCAGTGGTGTTTATTTTTACAGGATGGGTTTGCTAGCCTCATGCTCAATCTTCCCTCACTGCCAGCCCTATTATTGGCTTAGGGAGGTAAAGGAGTGCGTTCGTGGCCGGGGATTGAACCCCGGACCACCTGCATGTCTGGCGAGTATTCTACCGCTGTGCCACCGACACACACTTGATGTGTTGATGTTGACTAATTACTGTTGATGAATTAGATTGGTAATATTTCTGTATCATATTAAAAGTGCTGTATGTATGGTTAGGACACTCGCCGACCATGCACATGGTCCGGGGTTCGACCTCCTGCCGATGCACACCTGATATCTATGGTCGGCCTGCAAACTTATGGGCTACCGATATCACATGCTGAAAATTCCACACCTGTACAAAAAATACGGTGTGGAATCAACCTGTAATCAAAAATTAAAATATATATATATATGTTGGAGTGTGCGTCGGTGGCATAGCGGTTAGGACGCTCGCCGACCATGCACATGGTCCGGAGTTCGATCCCCAGCTGACGCACTCCTTTACCTTGCTAAGCTAGAAATAATGCTGGTGAAGAGGAAAGGTGCTGAAGTTGTCTTCGCTCAATACTCAAGATCAGATGGCCAGAAAAGACCAGCAACAGGGATCCTTGGGAGCGAACCAACCAGGAACCGATTGTGAAACAAATAGGCAGGAAGAAATGGAAATGGTTTAGTTGGCCATACTCTTAGGAAACCATCAAGTGACATCATTAGACAAGCCATCGCTCGAGTGAAACCCGAAAGGGAAGCGGCGAGTTGGTCGTCAGTGCAAGGGCGAGTTGGAGGAGATCATGTAAAGAGGAGATGAAAGCGTGTGGGCAGACATGGAGCCAGGTGAAGACTCTAACAGAGAACCGAACGCAATGGAGACGCACGGCTGAAGCCCTATGTTCCTGTAGGAACTAAAGGATACAATAATAATACAATTATAAGAGGAAAGGTTGGGCATTAGGCTAGCAACCCCATCCTGTAAAAATTAAAGACTGCTATAGAAACTTCAAGTGACAAGCTTGAAGCCCTATGTTCCACTGGGGAACGTGAAGGAAAAAAATAAAAAAATAAATATATGTTGGAGTGGTGCCAGAGATGAGGATCTAATTGAAAAGTGAATATTTCATTACTCAGTAGTCCTTTTATCTTTTAAATATGTGTGAATATTCAGCATTTTACTAAGTCCTAATTAAAATTGCTTCACATCATACACATTGTGAGTATGTAATAGCGCTTGTATAGATTTTCATGATATGAAAGAGATTTACAATTGATTTACGTTAAATTGTAGAGTTTTATAACGTGAGGTTTTAGTAGTTGAATTGAGCGCGCATGCATGTGCGCGTTATGTTCAATGCAATGATGATATCTATTGAACTTTTTGAAATAAGACTTAATCTGTTAGATTTTTTTTTCCGTACATAAATCTGTAAAACGGCATTTTCTCACTCTACTTCTATAGTCTTTCTTTCTTTCTGTTTTCTCTCTGTGCTACAAACTCTTTGAATGCAGCAAAAAAATGATTAGCTTTAATTGTTATCAAGAAGGTAGACAATGACTGTTACATCCTATAACTTTAAAGCTTTATTTTCTCATCTCGTTAGTATAAAAAGAAGCTAGATATATCTTTTTGTATTAGGTGACGTGTTAACGATTGGTATATCTGAAAATATTTTTACAC